TCCACCCCTTAGGATCTGGGTTTCAATAGCCCTGCCGTCAAATTTAGCGACTGTAAAGTTGGGTGCAATATAGGACCTTGAGACAGCAGGTCTGGCCAATATGGCAGGGCCCACAGCCCATCTACTGCCATCTTCATTATGTCCGCAGACCAGGCCGGAGCAATCAGTATCACAGTAATAGACTATCAGAACCCTGCGTAAGAGACGCGGCAAAAGCTGGATCAGAGGAAAGGCATAAATCATTGAAAACTGGTTCCAAGGAATCACTAAGGCATCTGCCCTAGCGGCGTGAGGGTCCCTTACCCTGGACACAAAAAGACCGACCTTGTTGTTGAACCTGGATGCCAATAGATATACATCCAGGCAACCCCATCGCTGGCAGACTTCCATGAAAACATCAGGATGCAAAGCCCATTCCCCTGGAATCATCTGCTGGCAACTGAGATGATCTGCCTGCCAATTTTCCACACCTGGAATGAACACTGGTGACAGACTTGGAACATATCTCTCTGCCCAGGTCGGAATGTAGTTCACCTGCTTCTAAGCACCTCGACTCCTGGTATTGCCCTAGTAGTTGATCTATGCGACTGCTGTGGCATTGTCAGCCTGAATCCTTACAAGTCAACCCTGAAGCCTGGATGTCCAATATCTCAGAGCCAGCTTCACTGCTCGAAGTTCCAGGACACTGATGGAAGAACCCTTTCCCGTGAAAGCCATGTTCCCTGAACTGTGGCCTCCTCCAGAACGACCCCCAACCTGAAAGGCTTGCATTGGTGGTTACCAACTTCCACACCACTGGCTGAAAGGATCTTCCCTTCTCCTAATTGTGAGTTATCAACCACCAATTCAGGCTCTGCTGCACCTCTGCAGACAGAGATATGCAGTAATCCAGTGACAGAATCTTTTTGTTCCAAACAGACAGAATGTACTTTTGCAGTGGTCTGGAGTGGAATTGAGCATAGGGAATAGCCTCGAACGAGGACAGCATCTTCCCCAGCAACCTCATACAGAGGCAAATTGAAGGATACCTGTTGGCCTTCAAACTGCAAACCTCGTTCCTCAGGGTGCAACATTTCCCTGGAGGCAGAAATACCTTTGCCTGAACTGTGTCTAGGACCATCTCCAAAAATACTCCAGGCTCTGTACTGGTTCAAGGGCCGACTTCTTGAGGTTGAGCACCCAGTCCAGCTGTTCCAGGATATGCACTGTAAGGACCACTTCCTGCTTCAGATTCGGCACCAACCAATTTCTGAGCAAGAGATACTCTAGATAACCCGTGACCGATACTCCCTGAGTAGCCCCAACAACGGAGCAAGAATTTTTGTGAAAACTCTGGAAGCCGTGGCCAGCCCAAACTGCAGTGCTATGAACTGGAAATGCTGAGCCCCTACTGCAAATCGCAGAAATCTTTTGTGAGGATTGAATATCAGTACATACGGGTATGCGTTCTTGATGTCTATGGACATCAAAAAAATCTCCCTCCTGTAGGGAGGCCACTATTGACCGAACCGATTCCATACAAAAGGATCGGACATACAGGAACTGATTTAGACCCTTGAGGTCCAAAATTTGCCTTACATCCCCATTTGGTTTTGGGACTGTAAACAGGTTTAAATAAAACCCCTGAAACCTTTCACCCACTGGAAGCTCCATGATTACTCCTTTAACTAATAGGCAATCGAGTGCCTGAAATAAAGCTCTTCTTTTCTCTGGATTTGTTGGTACATCTGACCTTAGAAACCGGGGAGAGGGAAATACCCACAATTCTAGTCTGTATCCCAGAGAAATCGTGGACATGACCCATGTGTCTTGGATTAGAGCCTTCCATGTGGCCTAAAATTTAAAAGCCTTCCCCTCACCCGAACAAGTGGGGGCACCCCTTCAAAGGAGGTGGACTTTGGATCTGTCTTAGACAACTTTTGCACGCAGGGCCTCATTGGGTTTCGATTCTGAGATCTACCCCTTGAGACTGGAACTTGTGTGTGGCGGAAAAAGTGCCTGGTAGATGAGGGCCCCCTTACAGACACTGGCGAAAAACTGAGGTACTTCCTGTATACAAGGGGTTATATATTGGAGGACCTCCTCTCTGATTGGTCAGCCAGTGTCCATTCACCTACAGGTCGCCTATAACCCGCAGTCATGAATAGCCTGCTCTGTGTCCCATGATATACGATAAAGAAAAGTAAGGTAGTTTTTAAAAAAACCTAGGGCCAGATCACACAGAAATTGCAGCACACATTCCCATGTGTTCCTGCATGCGGTGTGAACCTGGCCCAGCTGCCAGTATTCCACTTTCATCTGCTCCTTCTGTAATTATGCAGCCCTTTTTTAAAAGTACTGTTTTGCCCTTCCTTAACGATCTGTACCTTACCTTCTTGTTCTGGCATGCTGCTTTCCTTCCTCTAAACATTTATCCTGAGTGCCTGTATGTGATGTAGTAAATGGGTGGGATGGATGTGAGGGGAGGATCGCAGTAGCTATTGTAGCCATGCTGCAGAGCCAGCTAATTCTGCCTGCAGCTTTGTTTGGGAAAAAGTTGTTTTGACAACAGGTCAGCACTGCAGGGACACCATCTACTGGGTGCAAATCGTCCTGTAGCAAGCATCTTGTGGCTAAAGAGTGGGAGGGATGGTCTGGTTAACTTATAAATAGCTATAGGCAGAATAGGTGGCAAATGTGCAACCTGTAGTGTAGAGTAACAGCTGGTTGTCCACCTGAGAGAAAGCGTCGTGTGGGTGATTTTTAGCGCCAAGTTTGAAAAGTTAACACTGAAACAGTGAATACAATTCACACAGATAGCCTTTTTCCCTGATTGTTATATGTAAACACAAACTATTCAGAATACCCATAAAATAGTGTGGGGCAAGTAAGGTAAGCTACAGCAATGGTCAGAGATACTGGATGACCTGTCTATGTCACTGGTCCTGATAACAGGTTCAGACTTTACCTGTCAAGGTGCGCATACCTCTACAGGGGTCTTCAGGGACCTGGTTCCAGAGAAATGGACCAAAGCCCTGAACCTGTATAGCACCTGCGACTGATTGCATACGTTGCAAGTGCCGAGGTAAGAGCCCAAAGCAGGATCCAGTGCCCGGAGCAAAATTACAGGCATCCCCCACTCTGTGGGGTCTGGCTACAGCTCCTAAAGTTTTATTGAGGTTGCAACCATCCAGATGCAATTTCCCTATTGTTGTATTACAAGCAGGAGAAACTGAATGAAGAATCTGAAGTAAAATAATAAACTTGTTAAGCCAAGAGAGCTTTCCCTGTAAGGTAGAAGGGGTCCATCACCTTAAGACACTAGGAAAAAACTGAGGACTCAGGAAATAGGGTAGGGTTACCAGGATGATGCTGAGGAAGCCTGTCAGTCAATGCTTTGCCAGTGCCCAATCACCTGAAGGTACCAGCCTATAACTCAGGATCTATGAATATCAAGTCTGTGTCCTGTACTGTACAATTAAGATATAAAAGGTATTACTACAGTGAGGGACATTTAGTCTAACCTGGGCATAACAAAGAACATTTGAATATAACAATACTTCATTACCTACTGCAACATCTGTACTAGTGAAGTGGTCTAGTAAAAGAAATATATTTTAAGAAAATGGAGGTAGACACTCCCCAACTTTAGATCTGTTTCCTGACTTCAGGAAAGTTTATGAATGAAAAGCTTAGGGTCCACTGTCCCAGAACAAGTATACGGATATTGGAGCAGACTGGCTTCTGTCAGAGTTTTCTCATCCAGGTGCTTTGAAGTGACTATTGCTTCACTGGCCAGTGGTAATATGTAGGAAGCAAGAGGGAATGGGAATGCTACATCAGTATGCCAAAGTCTCAGAACTTTGACCAACAGAAATAGCCTGCCATTAAAGCATTTAGGGACTAATGAGAACTGCTCCATGTATGTGCATAATATACTTTATACCTCCTAACAGCTTAGGAAGGCCTATGTTAATGGAATTTAGGCTTGTGTTAAAGGCATCTGTTTGAGATACTTATTAAATCATCCAGAATTCATCGACTGGTGCATTTGACCTTCTTCTCCCCTACGTAGACTTTTTACAGTAATGCAAAATATGTCTAAAGCATAGAAATGCCCACTGACACAAGTTTTACAAATTTATCATTAATGAGACATGATTAGGTTAAGTAAAATGTATCTTTAGGTTACTCATCCTAAGCGAAGGTAAGAAAAAAAAACAAAAAAAAAAAAAAAAAAAAAACATGCCTGCTCATCTACTGCAAAACTGTACACCAGCAGTCACCCAGACATATGAGTACAAGCTACTAGGATGATTTCCTGGAAATTGTTAAATATTTGGATTACAAGGGACAGTCTGAATACTTTCAAACGCCTTATATAAGTATAATCTCATACATTTCTTACTACAAGCCATTAATGTTCAGTCTTTGCTTAAATGACCAGTTCATTTACAAAATATTTTTACCCCCCTAACTGAAATTCCCTTATCTCTACTTGCCTGCTTGTATCAAGCTTTCTAGGAGTGAGGAGACAAAATAGTCTCAATAATTCAGCATTATTTCCTTTCCTCTGAAGTTTGTGCAATCACTGCTGGACAATGTCTGACCTCAAAATCTGAAATGCTAATAGCATTTACACAGCTAAGCCTGGCAGTGGTACAAGACAAGTTACTAGAATGTGAACAGAAGATACCATTACCATTCTTAACATCATCTCTTCAAAAACAAAGGTAGCAATATAGTGTAAGTATTTCCAGCTTACATGGAAATTCCCCACCTATGCTGTTCATATGACCCTTGTGTACAGGAATGAACACAGATGCTTAGTTTTAAAAGGGGTGGGATATTCCTTAACCCAATGTTCTTCCCCTGCAAAACCTCTGGGGTAAAAACATGTTACCACTCCATAATCAGATATAATGTTGTTCTGTGTTTCAACAAAGTGTGGCCAGAACAAAAGAGGATTTGCATTTTAATTCAAAATCCCATTAAATTTCAAAGACAGAAAATATCATTACCTCTGGAGCAACAAAATTTGCAGTGTAACACGGAGTCATAAGCAACCCATTTTCGGCCCTGAGTTGTTTAGCAAAACCAAAGTCGCAGATTCGAATAGACTCGGGATTACCAGACTCATCCACATAAAGTATATTGCTGGGTTTCAAGTCTCTGTGGACAACCTGTAAAGAAAACGACATTCTACAAAACAGTGTTTCTCAAGGTCATAAAACTATACACTTATACTGAGTATATCAGTGTGTCAACAGTACACTAAACTGTAAACATTTATTCCAGGTAGTCGACAACAAAACTACGAGGGCTGTATGAAAAGTAAAAGAAAAGTGGGTATAACTTTTTTATTAACTTCCATAGCTCCTTCAAATGTCACATGTTGGTAGAGTAATTCTCCCTCTATAGTAACTATTCTTCTCCTTTTTCATTGCAGGTAAATAATGGATTGCAAGCAGAAACAACATGCTGTCACTGAGTTCTAGATGAAGCAGAGGTGCAGGCTGTCCAACATTCACAAAAGGCTAGTGAATGTTTACGGAGATTACACAAGAGCTATGTGCACAGATGGATGAAGGGGAAACCAGCATTGAAGAAAAACCACTCAGTGGGAGACTATCAACTGCAACCACTGATACAAATAGTCAGCAATTGGACAAACTGTTTTGCGTGGACAGACGAGTCACAAACTGAGCTGACTGCACAACTGGACTGTGGTCACAATGCCATACAGAAGATGTTGGAAGACTTAGGGTGTTGGAAAGCATGCAAAGTGGGTACTTCAGCAGTAGATACTGGAATTAAAGGAAAGAAGGATGGAAGGGTGGAAGGTCTGCTCTAATCTGAGAAAGTGTTTAAAGTCGATGAAGACATTTTTGCTGGTCTGGTAACAGAGGATGAAACGTGGTTGTATCTTTTTGATCCAAAAATAAAGAATCAGTCATGGAATAGCACCACACCCCTTACCCAAGGCCTAAGACATTCAAGAGCCAGCAATCAGCACAGAAAGTCATGATGACTGTGTTTTGTGATGGCAAGGGATTTAGTCTCCTTGATTTCCTGGAATGTACCATAAGCAGTGAGTGGTTCATGGAGAAAGTGAAGGACGACGAGACTGAACAAAAATCTGAAATCGGTCCATATTCACACACATCTTTGGCAACAAGTCAGGCAACCAGAAATTGGCTGGTCAGTGACCCTCCATCCACTGTAAATCCCAAATTTAGCACCCTCAGACTACCACTTGCTTGGTCCAACAAAGGACAGTCTTTGGGGAAATTATTTGATGGCACACACAAGGTGAAAGTGGATGGAACAAGTAGATACACCAGTGCACACCTAAACTTTTTCAAAGAGGATTTGAGAATTGGGTTCAGCTAGAACAAAAATGCATCACTTGTGATGAAGACTATGATGAGTAGTAACTTTGTATAAAGGAAGTGTTAATCTACCAACATGTGGAATTTGAACTACCTTTGTATGTTATTAAACGTTAGGCCAACGTTTGCATTACTTTCTGTACAACCCCTCGTACATGTTTTTGTTAATTTTTAGGTCTCTCATGTTTCCTGACTTATGTACAGTATATATTCTTTTAGGTACTGGTATTATTTTTCAAATAGTTAAAACACAAGGAGGCATACATTTTCAGAAAAGAGACAGGATTAATTTGCTTTATTATGGTGAAAAATCTTATGTTGTCTGCTTTTATGCGTTTCCAGAGCAAACATTTGAAATATAGGAGCGTGATCTGCACATGGCGGCATGAGCATGCACCTTCAGGAGCTTTGCACGACCAGCCTATTAGCCAGCCTAGCCACTTTGGAGCGCCACTTTCTATACTGGGGGATTGGAGAACCCACCAAGTTGCTGGAGAACCACGTTCTGCGGAGGTGCACTAATTTCTCCGCCAGCACCTGATCTCTTCCCCGAGCCCTGCTCCATCCAGGACCTGCTTGTGAATCTTCCCACGTGGCAGGACAGCCAGGCCATGGATACCTCTGAATGACTTGACTAAGAAGATCCACGACTTTAAACAACAGATCAACTCAGTGGATGGCCGCTTAACCGCTCTAGAATATTCCACATCTATAGTAGACACCAAGCTGGAGGCCTTGGAGGCCCACCAAGCCGCATACCGCCGCCATCTTATTTATCTCCACCTCAAAGTAGATGATGGGGAAAACAGGAACAGACTCCACTCTCTATTTGAAATATTACAATGTCAAACAAAGTATGAATGCTTTCTAAAATATTCATATAAGGCTTATGATCTCACCCATTGTGAATGTAGGTATTCCACAGTTTTGGTTATCGTGTGCAATACAGCACTCGCCTCCCGCTCTGAGAAGAACTTCTGCCGTAGTATTTTGTCTAAAAGTTCCCCTCCTTTCATTAGTTCAGTTACTAGATATACATATTTCCCATCGTCATATACCTGCAACATAACACACACACACACACATCACCAACTTTCCCAGGAACACTGTAAACAAAAATGCAGAAGTAAGCAGGTCATGTAAAATTTACAAATGTGTAAAAATTCTAACCCAATTTGGGTTATATAAATACATTTATTAATGTCATGTACTAAAATGCAACAGCAGAAAAAGGTTGCAAGTTTGATTAAAAAAAAAAAAAAAAGTACCAGTTACACTTACCGGTAACAGGGTTTCTGGAAAATCTTCCAGGACGGCACACCTGAGAGATGACTAGCTGACAGGAAACACATTCAATAGAGTTTAAAATTCCCCACCCTTCTCTTCACTCCTCAGTTATGCAAAAGCATTCCCGAACCCTGGTGCACGAAAGGTAATCTGGCTTAAATTAATCAACACCAGACAAGGGTGGAAAGTAGGCCTGCCGTCCTGGAAGATTTCCCATAAACACCGTTACCGGTAAGTGTTCCTAGTACTTTTCTCTAGTCTTCTTCTAGAACAGCACACCTTGAGATGAGAAGCAATGAACTAAGGCCTATCTTAGGGTGGGACCACTGCCTGTAATACTTTCCTGCCAAAAGCCAGGTCCTGAGGTGACTTACAGCTCTACCATGTAGTGCCTTCATGAAAGTGTCCTGGCTTGTCCATGTGGCTGCTCGACAGATCTGTTCAATCGATGCTTTGGTCCTTTCCGCCAGTAATCTGGTAGAGTGAGCCCTCAGGTGTAAAGGAACTGAAACGTCTGATTGCTTGTAAGCTAAGGGGATGGCTTGTCTGATCCATCTAGCTATTGTTGGCTTAGATGCTTGCTGTCCCTTCCTTGGGCCACTAAACAAAATCAGAAGGTGATTCGCCTTCCCGAAGGCACTTACTCTATCCAAATATGTCAGTAAACACTGTCTGACATCTAAAAAAGCTCATTCCTAGGGTTTTGACAGAAGGATGGTAGGACAATCTCCTGTGTCCTATGAAACCATGAGGCCACCTGGGCAAATAAAGGGGATCCTGTCTAAGCACTACCCTGTCCTCTAATACCACCAGGAAGGGTTCCTTGATAGACAGGCTCTGAAGGTCGCCTATCCTCCTTGGCATTTTGATGGCCAAGAAGAAGGCAAACTTAAAAGATAAAATCTTAACAGAAATCTGTGCCACTGGCTCAAACGGTGGCTTGGTTAAAGCCTCTCACACGAATGTCAGATACCAGGCTGGAAAATTGTGTAACTTAATGGGGTCATCCTTTCCCTGGCCCCCAGAACCTTCTAACTAGGGGCTCCAAAACAAGTCTCTGATCCAAAAAGAGCAATAAGGTCGCCAATTGCACCTTTACTGCTATACCTTTATCCACCCCTGCTTGGAGAAAGTCTAGGATCACAGGGACTGTGGGAACGAAACCCCCTTCTCCTGACAACTAGAAAACACTCTCCACACCTTGGCGTACATCTTTCTAGTGACCGGCTTCCTACTTAGGAGATGAGTGTCTATCATCCTCTCAGAACACCCCCTTCTTCTAAGGATCTCCCTTTCAAGAGCCAAACAGTTAACCAAAAAAACTTCAGATTAGGGTGCAGAGCTGGCCCCTGCAAGAGGAGATCCCTCCTGACTGGGAAAAGTAGGGGAGCCACAGACCACCTCTTCAAGGTGGCGAACCAGGCTCTTCTTGGCCACAATGGGGCCAGCAAGATCAGTCTGCAGTCTGATCAGCACAGCTTCTGTAGTACCCACGGGATCAACGCCAGAGGGGGGAATGCATATGTCAGCTCAAAATCCCACTCCTGCGCTAACACATCCAGACCCTCGGACCCCTGCTCCCGGGCCCGGGAAAAATACCGCCTGACCTTCCTGTTTTTCCTGCAAGCAAAGAGATCTATTTCCGGGCTGCTAAAAACCTGACTTATCTCAAAAAAGACATCGGGATTGAGTTCCCACTCTCCCTGGTGAATTTAACTGTCGGCAGAGAAAATCTGCTTTTATGTTGGCCAACCCTTTTATGTGGACCGCTGACACTGAAAAGACCCTGCTCTCTGCCCATCCTAGAACATCCTGAGCTAGGTCCATAAGCTTCTGGGATCTGGAGCTCCCCTGATGATTCTGGTATGCCACAGTCGATATAATGTCTGCCAGAATTTGGATTGCTTTTTCCCCCGATCCTGTCTTCGCAGGACTTCAAGGCCCGATCAATGGCAAGAGGTTCCCTGTAATTGGAGAAGGTCCCCCTTAGGTGTGGCTCCCATGGGCTTTGGGCTTGTCTGTCTTCTAGATGAGTTGCCCAGCCCCACTCACTTGCATCTGTGGTTACCCTGATTGGGTTCCACTGCGCCAATGGTCTTCCTTTCCCCAGATTCAGGGACCTGAGCCACCTCCTCAGCAAGGTTTATACATTCTCCGTGAGGGAAACCCTCTCATCCAGCGACTGCCCTTTCCTGTTCTAAGAGGATAGAAGGAAGAATTGAAGCTCCCTGGAATGTAACTTTGCCCAGTCAACGACCGAAATACAGCCTGTTATGAGTCCTAGAACCCTCATAATGTGCCTCCGTGAGGAATCTGGAGCTGCTATCAACCCAGAGACAGCCCTCGCTATTTTTTCGGTATTGTCTTGGGGTAAAAAAAAAGAGCCTCTGGACTCCACTACACCTTGGTTTGGGAAAGAGTCAATGAGGACTGCTCCCAATTGACAAACCACCCCAAAGATTCCAAGATGAGGATCACTTCTTCCAGGTCTCTCAGGACTTTGTGTTGTGAGGATCCGTAGATCATCAGATCGTCTAGGTAAAGGATGAGAGAAATCCCCAGAAGGTGTAAAAAGTCTACTACCTCGGCCAAGACCTTGGTGAATATTCTAGGACTGGCCGCCAGCCCAAAGGGGAGGGCTTGGAACTGCCAATGCCTGACCCTCTGTTCCATGAAAATGGCAAACCGTAAGGAGGCTTGGTATTTCAGGGCGATGGGAATGTGGAAGTAGGCATCCCTGAGGTCCACAGTGGCCATGAAAACTCATATGAGCAGATGTTTCCATACACTATAGTTTCCATACGGAACTTTTTGAACCCTCGGGAAACTGTTTAACCTTCTTAGGTTTATGATGAAGCAGAACTTCCCCAAAGATTTCGGGACCACGAAGACGTGGGAATAAAATCCACGAAAAAGCTGGTCCGTTGGCACAGGGACAATTACCTCCTGATCTGCTAAATCCCTGCCCAATCTTTAGATCCATGTCATTTGGGGTCCTTACTAGTACCGTAAAAAAGGAAGCTCCCTTTCTATCTCCCCTTGTTGGCCCATTTCTTGGGCAAGTCCTTACTAAATCTTTGCTGGCCCTGATTAAGGGGGGGCTCAAAGAAGCTTTTCCACCTTATCCTTTTTGACCTTGACAGGGAACTTCTTCCCCTTTTCGGTGGACCTTGATAACATCTCGTCCAGCCCTGAGCCAAACCGTAAGCAACACTTAAAGGTAACACTGCAGAGTCGAGCTGGGGGGAAGGGGGGGTCTGGAGGATTGTTTTCACCTTAGGTGTCTTGTGGGCGCCCTCCTTGGTGTTCCCACACAGTTCTAAGGAGAGACAAACAAGGACCCCCGGTTAGCACAGTATTCCTTCCCCCTAGATATACATGTAGGGGCGTGGGTAAGGACTCTACCGTCCTCCTCTTCCCCACCAGCCAAGTCAGACTCGCTGCCCGTGGTCTTCTCACTGGCTGCAGCCACTGCCTCGTCTTCCATCTCAGCAGGGCCCCATGGGACTGCAACGCCTTCGTCAGGCTCCTGGGTCCACACTCCCAGAGGTGATCCCTGAAGGCTCCTCACCAGCCTCATGAGGAAGGGAACACTGACCGGCGCCACAATCTTTAAGGCAGAAGTACCACCCTAACTGGATATCCGACTGAGAATGAGGCTTGGTCTGCAGCCTCGCTCCGGCTTCCAGTCCTGCGCCCACAGACCCAGGGTTCTCTGTCTGCCTGCCCTCTGGCCCTTGCAGAGCTAACAGGGAACTCTACCACACCTCCCACCCTATGGGTGCGCACTACGCAATCTCGGCCAGCGGTCCAGCGGCACCCGCGAAATAGCAACCTCGCAGCCTGGTCCTCTTCTGGTCACGCCTTGCCGCTTCCACGAATGAGGGAAGGAGGGCGCCCATCCCCGGAATACCAGGCACACTTCCCCTGTGCCTGGAAAACTCCTACATGCTGGGACCCCTGGAGTGGGCGAGTGACCCACGTTCACAGCCTGCCTTCCCTGGCTCAGCTGCTTAACTTCCCCCAGGGGGGACCTTCCAGCCCCAGGCTTTAGGTCTCCAAATAGAAACAAACGTTTGACTGCCAGGGAAACACAATCAAAAACTGAAGAGTGGAGAGAAGGGCAGGCAATTTAAACTTTGTTGTTCTTTTGATTGTGTTTCCTGTCAGGTGGAGCTAGTCACCTCTCAGGTGTGCTGTCCTGGAAGATTACTAGAGAAAGTCATTTAAATTATATTTCTCTCCACAAAAATATGGACATTTTGGATATGCAATGTAGTTTGGGAAAACAATACCACAACCCTTCCATGAATGAGATGTGAACAACACTAAATACCACAGCTCTTGCACGCATGAGTTGTGACGAACGCTGCAGAAAGCAACAACTGCCCATCAGAGTTTGCAACAGCTTTCATTCCATGCATGAGTGAAAATCACTTCCAGCTATCCTCCCAATCCTGCTGTACTAACATACAGAATGCTAAAATAATTACTTACAGTGCATAGAATACATGAAGGGAAAAAAAATTTAGCCTTTACAACCACTTTAAGGCAGGACTGGTCAATCAGAAGCTCTGAGTGCTGATATTTACCTTCAAAAGACACAATTTGACCAGCATTGCAGTACTTCATAGTATTAAAGAGGAACTCCAGACAACATTTTTTATAAAATTTTAAGTGTCAAAAAAATGACCTGATGTGTAAAATGTTCACATTACTGTACAATTTATACAGTTGTTACTGGATGCTACAGCTAGCACTGTACTTCCAG